ATGCCAGAGGCTGTGTGCATGCCCCCATTTCCCCTTCTCCTCCCACCATTATTTGTCTAGGAGATAAATCGTTCAGGGTGCCAGAATACCACGCCCTATTGGGAGAATAAGCAGAGGTTCTGTTATGCTGGAGGGCATTAATGGCTGCCTGTGACACTCTGTGCCTTGGGGGAACACCCTGCACCCCCATGTTCATCCTTTATAAAATGATTGTGTGGTATCCAATGCAAACTTTGTCATGTCAGGTGTCTTCAGAAGGCTCACGATGCACTGAGCATTGTTGTAGTTATAGTAATGTTATAGGTTGTAATTTCATGTGTATAGTTATGAGGCTGAAAATGTGTCCTCATGGCTTAAAACAAGCCCAGGCAAAAACTCTCCAGGAGCAGAGGCCCAGGCAAAACTCTCTAGGAGCAGAAGGGCAGTTTACGCCTCATCAGGGAATGTATGGGACAAACCCAGGCAGCCTCACGGGAACAAAGGACACTGGCCTAGGCAGCCACAAAGGATCTGTTGGACTCTTGAGTGTGTCACCCCCCTTCCCTTAGTCAGTTTGGGACTACGATGAGGTAATGCTCACCTGACTCTGAAGGGGAGAGTGGGGGTCAAAGCCAAGAGGAAAGAAAGAACATGATAAAGGGAGAGACGTTTTCCATGCTCTCTCTCTCTCTCTCTTCCACCTCCATCTACAGACACCACCACCAAGCGACTGAAATGCTGATCAAAGGGGAGGCCTGGCTGAAGATCAGCTTAGAATGCATTTTGCTTTTATTTCATTTGACCAAATCTGACTTGTTGTGCTTTGACTTATAATCACTTAAAATCTATGTTTTGTAGTTAATAAATTTGTTTATTCTACCTAAAGCCTGGGATAACAAGCCTGGTACATATCAGTTTCTTTGTTAAATTGATAAACTCATATAAGCTTGCAGTGTCCAGCAGGTATAACTGGACACTGCAAGATGGAGGTTCCTAGGGTTGTGTCTGGGACCAGAGATATTGACTAGTGTCATTCGGTTGCACAATCCAAGCAGCGGCTGGCCAAAAGTGCTCACTCACATAGCTGGGAACAGCTTATATGCCAGAGGCTGTGCGTGAACATCCTGGGAGTGGGGGTTCTCACAGCAGAGCAGGGTAAGGCTGGCTCCCAGAGTCGAGGATTGGAGTGACCTAGCAGATCACCAGTTCAGATAACACCAGGGGAACATCACAGTGCCATCATCCAGTTCTTTGCTCTATAGACAAATGAGAGCTGTTTGAAGTGGTGGCTGTGCTAAACAGATGGCAGGATCTATGTGTGCTAGATTTTCTTTCTTTAAGTTTTCTGATTTTCCCCCAAATCAATAGGGTTCTGGCCATTGGTGCCTGGACTGTTCCCTGAAATTTTGGAAATGATCAGATGCAATATTCAAAATTTGTCATATGATACTTGTATAACACCAACACCCCTGTGTGGGTCATCAGCAGCAGGGATCAAATCTGGGATCTCTTGAGCTTAATTCATGAGCCTCTATTTCCTGAGCTAAAAGATAGTTCTCTCTTAACCAAGCCTGTAGCAGGTTTATCAGTCTCTAGCTGGCCTAGCCACCACTAGAGGGGGACACAGTGCCATGCTGAGCAGGCAGGGGTCGGTCACACACACACATACACACACACACACACACGCAAAAGTGTCAAGTTGAACAAAAGGCCTGGACAAATGTGGCCAATTAAAAAACAAAACAACCCAACATATCCTCACATATTTCCCATGGGAGTGTTTTCCACTACGTTTCCATGCTTTCCACTACGTTCTTGCTTAGTGATTTACATTTCAGTAACCCAGATGGCTGTGTCAGTTGCACTGCCTGTTCTCAGATATCAATTGTAGCATTTCAAAACGTTCCTTATTTAAAATCCCAACTATCATAAAAAAGTGGCCAAGCTCTTAAATCATCAAAGTACTGAGCTTCTTAATGTATATTATGTATTTCTATAGACTAGAAGGAACTTGAATATTAAAGATTTGACCTCATGTTAATGTTGAACATGATTGAAGAGAAGAACAGAAGTTTTATTAGGTTAACAAATATCCTTAGGGCATTTTAAAGAGTTTTCAGGTTTCTCTCCCTAGAGGCTGCTTATTTAACATTCAGACCTGGAATGTGCATTTTGCATTCATACTACTTATTATGATTTATTTTAGTTTTTTTGCTAAAGAACATGTTTTTTTCTGTGAGAAGCTGTAGTATTTTAACAATGCCATTCAGATTGAAAAATTAAATTAAAAAATGAATGAACTGAGTTGCTTCCTACAAAACTCTACCATCTAGCTTTCAAAACCCTTTGTTAGAGGTTGAGCTAAAATTTCCAGGGGAGTTGGGCTCAGTCTCAACTCTGGCTCGCTTTCCATTTCTCAGGTGATAGGTTTTGGTTTGGATAGGTGGTTGGTGTAGCAGAAAGAGAAAGCCGGAGACATGAAGCCTGGTATAAAAGGCCAAAGGCCAAGTCAGGTCCTGCTGATATAAAGCAAAGGTAGCAAGAGCAAAGCTATGAGCAAAAGTCAGGCCCTGTTACAAAGTAGATGCCTACTTGCAGGTTCACTATGTCAGCAGTTCTCAACCAGGGGTCTGGGGCGCCCTGGGGGGCCGTGAGCAGGTTTCGGGGGGGCTGCCAAGCAGGCCCAGTATTAGACTCGCTGGGACCCAGGGCAGAAAGCCGAAGCCCCACCACCTGGGACGGAAGCCGAAGCCTGAGCAATTGCCCTGCTTGCTACCCCATAACATCAACCCTGGCTTTTATATGCAGAAAAACAGTTGTGGCACAGATGAGCCATGGAGTTTTTAATATCATGTTGCGGGGGCCTCAGGAAGCAAAAGGTTGAGAACCCCTGCACTATATGATACATGAACTTGGCAAAAACAGGCCTGGTGCTGTAAAAACACAAGCACTCCTAGGTGATAAGTATTCAAGTAGGAAGGCTGGAAACAAAACACTCTGATAAAGGATTATGGTGCAGACACACTCCCTGAAGATGGTATGGGACACGCTGACCTCTCTTAAAGATAAGGTCAGGATGACAGGGTGATGGATAGACATGTTTTGATCAAACCAACAGGTACAAGGGAAAAGGTGGTAACTAGCCATGTCAGAGGGGCAGTACGTAACTTCTTGTATCAGTGTATAAAAGGGGGGTCGCAGAGGGGGTGTCTTTGCCCAGCCGAGGGGGAAGCAGAAAGTTCTGCTGTTCACTGAGCTGAGTCCATTGTCACAGGCATACATGTACTGAGTGTACCTGTAGCACACATAGGGCACTAATATTGTGCTTTATTGGCAATAAACCTGGTTGTCTTTTGCTACTGAACCGAGTCTGTGGTCTTCTTGGGCAGTTTGATCAAGGTGTGCTGTATGGGCTATCTGGTCAGAGCCAGTGCAGCACACAGAGAGAACACACACACAGCCAACAACTGACAACAGTTGGGTCAGGTGACTAGGCCTCACCTAGGAAGCCCTGGGCTATCATCATAAGAGGGAGCCTGTTTCATCAGAGATAGGGAGACTAGGGGCTAGGAAAGCTATAGGGCTCTCTGGAGAGGCCTAGGAGAGTGACTTGGGACCAGATACCCTGTGGAAGCAGAGAAACTGAGGCAGCAGCAGGGACTGGCAGTGCATGACATCAGAACCTTCATGCGCAATAGAACTAATGTCAGTTACTACATTAGTGTCTTCATCTATATGGTACCAGTAAGCACTACTGAGACAAGCAAAACTGATCTCCTGAGTTTAGAAACAGTGCGAACAGAACCAAAAAGCCAATAATGACTGGTGCAAATGGGATGGCTTTATAACCTGTTAGGAACCAAAGGTAATAAATGCCATCACTTCAGTAGCTTTTGGACCACAGAAATGGCACCAAAACTGAATGTAGTCTACGTGAAAGGTACTAGATTGGTATCTGTGGACTCTGTGTGATGGGCTGCTATGATCAAAGCAAGGATGATGCATCACAAAAATACTTTGTCTAAATCTTTTGACAACTACAGTGTCATCTACGAATGGCTAGTAACGGTGCTATATTATGTTTATGTAATGTCTTAGTAATGGTCCCCCTACAGTGGTCTGCTTCCCTGTCTTTGCTGAGAAGTGGGAGGAGGCCACCATATTTGTGTGTGTGAATAATGCAGCATGCAGATTAGCCAAGTACTGTTGTGATTAGCTAGTAAACTGGTTTCTACTTGGAATTAGTTGAAAAAAATCCAAACTTCCAATTATTTTTTATGGAACTTTTTTTTGACTGCTCTTTAGTCTATACAAAGACTACCTGCCATATGGGGAGGAGTGATACAATTTTCCCTCGGTGGCCTGGCCGTTGCATTAACCCACCGCAGAGAGAGATACACTTGGGACAAAAAGTTGGTTCCCTCTCTATACCCGTCAACCCTTAGCTTCTGCTGACCCTGCCAACCAGTCAGCCATTCTGAAATGTAATGTGAGTTTTGTGATTTCCAAGAAACATGAATGAAGACATCAATCCATTTCCTACAGAGCATCAGTCATCAGGTGGTAACGTTTGCTCACTACTTTCTATGATGGTTTCATACTACTTACTTGCGGGCAAACTCTCTGCTCAACACCCAATTCATTATGTGAGTGCAGAAATCTACCTGCTCCCTCCGCAGCTGTGCAGCTGTCCTAACAAGGCTACTCCAGCCTGAGAGCTGGAAAGGACCACAGCATCTCTTCCCTTTCCCTGATTCCACCGGCCCTCACGAGAGGATGTACACAGTGTCTGATGCCCACACCACTTGCTGCAAGCCTGTATTTCTGAATGTTTGGACACTTAAACATATGTAGATGATCAGCTGATGAGTTGTTTTGCTCTTACCAGAGTACATAATTGGGCATTATAATTTCCCTGAAACAACTCTCTTGTATAAAAACAGCTTAAGTTTTTTTTGCCAAAATTAAACTTCTTTTCAAATACAAAACGTAGCACTTGGTTGTAAGCCGAGGATACTTACTCAGTATTGTGTGTATCAATGGTGTTAAAAAGCTCGTGCAATTCGTCTCCACTCAGAACTCCATCAGCAAAGTAGGCTTTGAATTCCTCAAAAGACAGTTTGCCATCATCTGAAACCAAGAAGAAAGCAAAACATCATTAGCTACAGATACAGTTTGTTGTCTCCTTTAATTTAAGGAATCTGAACAGGAGATTTTAAAAAATAGAATCATGGGACTAGATGTTTAGATTAAATTTATTTGGAAATTTGATAACAGATTGTGTTCAGGCCATGTAGTGAGTATTAAATTAAATGCATCAATAATAGTAGTACAGTACAGACCCGTTTAAGCACGAATCCGCTTAATGTGCGGGAGCGCCATGCCTCCCAGTGCTACCTATTTAACACGCGAGACTCATTAACATGTGGTACAGGAACTTGCTATGTAGCACAACAGATTTGCTCATTAACAGAAATCGACAGGAAGTGTGGAGCGGAAATGTGTTCTATGTCTTTACTGATATTGGTAAGACGTATCACGCACGCTTAGTCATTGTCACACTAGAGAGATATATAATAGTTATATAGTAATTTATATACACTACATTAGAAAATTTTAACCATAGGTCTAATATAATGGCAGAGGGCAAGCGTCGGCATTCCTACACTGTAGAAGAAAAGCTAGATGCAATAGATTGAGTAAATAGCGGAGAAACCCAGGCCAAAGTTTCAAAAGATATTGAGATTGCCGAATCTACTCTCCAAGGATGGCTAAAAAACGAATCTAAACTGAATGGCTTTGTACAAAATATAGATTCTGCTGTGGGGCTTAAGCAAAAACATGTGCGCTATTCAGCAAAACCCACAATAGACAAAGCCATGCGCACGTGGTTTGCTCAGGAAAGGCTGAAAGGAATGCCGCTAAGTAGGCCAATTCTTCAAGCCCAAGTGACAAAATCTGGAAATTTAATGGGGGATGAATCATTCCAAGCCAGCAAGGGGTTTATAAGTCGTTTTAAAAAGCAGGTATCGATTTCTGGAGAAAGCCGATCAGCCGATGAATCGGCCACGAGTGCATTTTCCGCCGAGTTAAAATCTATTTTAAATTCAGAATTTCTGTCCGAGGAAGAAATATTAACGGGCTGAGAGTCTAGGTCGGACCGCAAAAGTGATGGCGAGAATTCTAATAATGCAGGCCTAAATGACAATGACGATGAGGATGTCGAAGAAAAGGTCAAAATTTTGCCCACAGAAGCCCTTAGTGCTGTAGAAACTGTTGTAAGATTTATGGAGGAGCAAAATGCAGAAAATATCAAAATCATTCATCTGCGGCGAATGACAGACTTCATAAGAAAGAAAAAAAATGTGAGCCAGAAAGAGCAGAAAATAACGGCATTTTTTTCTAAGTGAATCATAGACCCTTTTTTCAGCATGGCCCTCTTAACCCGTGGTCCATTAACACGTGGTCGTGACGGCTTGACTCCCGACATCCGCACGTAAATGGGTCTGTTCTGTATATCTGCCAATCAACCTTTGCAGACACATAAAAACAATTGATCAAATAATGTAACATAGTATGTATGTAATCATCCCTGCGAAATTTAACACAAGTGTTTCAAGCCATGGAGAGAAGGGTACCACCAATCTATTGTCTGACCCTGAGAGTAGCACCTTTTCTCCCATTTATATCTATGTAGTTTGTTTTGGTGAATGGCAAATGTAATTGCAGCTCTGGGTCCCATCATCAGCCAGAAGAAATTCTAGTTTTTGCATTAGTGTCAGGAAGGCTTTATTGAAGAATGATGCCCAGCCACCTTTCTCTAAGTAATTTGCAAACTGGCAGGCCATGTAGAACTCTCCTCCTCACTACCTTTGGTTGAAACCTAAAAAAGGGTAAGTGCCACTCTCAAGAATGTACTGGGAAGAATCTCAAGACATTCTCTTGGTCATAGAATATCTTGGAAGCAAAGAAAATAGCCAACTCCTGTCTGTATCTGTGAGAAATTATTGCCTGTAGCAGACATCATAAAGTAGACATCAGTAATCTGACTTAATTTAGGCCTAAGTTTTGCAGGTCTTTCTGGACCCTGGGCATCCATAGAAAAGTTCCACTTCTAATACTGCTCCTGGAAATGTTACTTGGCAAGAAAATTTCCTGCCATCATGTATATTTTTCTGTCAAAATCTTGCTATTAGTAGTTGAACTCTTAGTTACATCCCATTCTGTGGATGTCTACAAAGGCCCCTGGAATGTAAAGAGGGCTGAGAGCTTTGGTAGAATATTCTGTAGAACCTGCACGAGGACCCTCTCTCCATGAACTTCACAACTCTGCTCCTGACACTGTGACTAAATTGTAGACTGAATAATGTTAAGAGTTAGGGGCACCAAGTTTCTACTCCAGGGCTAATGAACTTGACAATTCCTGTCAGTGATTTTACAGACCCACATTTGTAAAGTATTAGGTGTTGCTGTGCTCAGCATTGCAATGCCTAGCTGATTTAGGAACCTAAATCTCATTTTCAGAAGAGGTTTAGGCACTTAGGAGCCCAAATCCCACTAGCAGTTGATGGGATTTAGACTCCTAAGTGCCTAGCCCTCTTTTGAAAATGATATTTCAACTCCTAAATCAGTTAGTCATTGCAATGCTGAGTGCAGCAATGTCTAATACCTTCAAAAATCTGGGCCAGAATGTTTAGGGTTTGTCTACACTTAATATGCTACAGTAGCCCTGCTATGCCAGTGCAGCTGCAGTTATTCCGTGTACACACTACCTACGGCAACAGGAGGGATTCTCTTGTCGACACACGTAATCCACCTCCCCGAGATGCAGTATCTTGGTTGATGGAAGCATTCTTCCATTGACCTAGCACTGTCTACATGGGGATTTAGGTCATCTTAACTAAGATGAGGATTTTCACACCCCAACCGATGTAGTTAAACCAACCTAATTTGCTAGTGTGGACCAGGCCAAGTCTCAGATGGGACATGAGTCAACCCCATTTTTCAAACTAAAATATCATCAACTTTTTTCCATACTTGGGTTATACATCTTCTCTGTTTGAGACAAGGCTAAACCACCACCTTGGCCTTTTGATGACTGATGGCTAGTTATAGGTGCAGCGGGTGCCTAAAGTCTAATGCGATTTGAGAAAAATACCATATCATGGGAATAATTAGAAGAACAGTAATAGGAATTGAATTAACCCTGAGGGGAAACAGTCTCATTATAATACTGCTACTGCATTATTTGGCAGAGTCTGTTTCCTCTGCTTTTTACTTTGGCCTTAATTGTAGCATGCAGTGAACTAACACGACACAACATCCTTGACTCGCTCTCTGCCCAACCTCTCTTATCTAATATTTCCCAACGATTAGCATTTCAGAGCTGGATTCCATCTTAATTTGTTTGCTGGATAAAAACCTCTGATATGCACATTTTGTGGCATGCATACTTTTTAAACTGGCTGGTGTCACTGTAGTGTGGTGTGATACATCCTTCTAGGAGGATACAAGATGGGATTTTCAAAAGTGCTGTAGTAATTTAGGAGACTTATGCTCCTAAATCACTTAGGCACCTTTGAAAATTCCAGACAGCAGCCACATTTTAAAACATGTTGGGTTGGATGTATGGCTTCTGTTTTTCTATGAGCCACAGAATCGAAATCTGAGTAGACTGGTACAGTCTGTACCAGGTATGGAGCTGCTGCAATTGTTATATATGTATGTGGCTGCAAAGATCAATGGCCATTCTCCATTCTGGAAGGTGGGGTTCTGGACTGCAAAGAGCTGCAGCCGGTGCCAGGCTCTGGTTGCTGTTGTATGTAATGTTTAAATAACAGTCATTTTAACTGTTAAATACAAGCTCTTTGCCTTAATAAGGAGAGCACACAGCAGACTGATTTTTTTAAAATACTATTTATTAGAGCTATCTGATTATACACCAAAGAATCTTCCTCTATGTACAATCTTCCTGTAACTACAGTGTGAAGACTGAAAAAACAGGACTGAGTGCATACATTCCAGTGTGTTTTTAACCAGTGGAATAATCTGACAAAGCATCACATTTTGAGCAATTCTTCTGATTAGAACACTTCAGAAATAGGCTTTTAATGCCTTCCAAGATCTTACTTTTGAAGTTCAGCAGAACTAATTGCTGGCAATTAATCACTGGATGTGATGGGCAAACAGCATGGATAACTGAGCCCATTCCCGGAGCAGTCTAAGGTAATTCTTATAGGTCATCCTGCAGTGCAGAACAGACTGCTAATACTACCTTCAAAGAAATGAGAATAAAAAAGAGATTGTCCCAATTAAACAGGAATCTCTAAGGACAGTGACTATAAGTATTAGCTGTTAGAGTAGCACATGGACATTCGCCTTATTTAAGTCACATTGTAGGGAGAGGATTTAGAGTATATCGGGATAATGAAAATAAAAACATAGACGAAACCAGACACAGGGTATCAAGCAGACACTTTGGGCCACTTTTTAAAAAAAAATTGCCTCCTGTGTGAACACCCGTGCATACCTGCTGTTCTGATATTAGCATCTGAATATGTAGGTGGCAGAATTTCAATCTGCAAGCCCTGTGATCTGTAGGCAAAAGTGGTAAATTCTGTCACCTCTGCACACCGGTATTCTCAAAAATTGCAGCTGTCCATACTTTCATGGTCACAAGCAGCGATGGGGTTGCTAAGAGCCCTTTAAAAATGTAGCCCTCAGACTCTGGGAGTTAAGTTGTAGGACGCATCATCGAGGCGCAGAGGTTTTCTGCTGACTCCTCTTGAAGTCAAGTGTTAGGATTCTGCACAGTGGTATAACATTCACCCTGTCAGGCAGAGCAGGGGAGTCCTTTTGGCAACCCCAGTGGGGTCATTAGAATTCAGATGACTCCATGGGTAAAATATTGAGGCACACAACCCTTGTAGGTTCTAAAAGTGATTAGCTGCAGCACCAAGCACAAGGGGGCCCCGATGAAGGTGACAGGTGACTAATTCAAAGCAATCTGGATCACTGGGTAAACTGGGCACAAGCAGGTTTCAGAGGAACAGCCGTGTTAGTCTGTATTCGCAAAAAGAAAAGGAGTACTTGTGGCACCTTAGAGACTAACCAATTTATTTGAGCATGAG